ATATTGTTGGATATGTTAAAGATATCAACTTTGTCGGTAAAACCATCCGGAGTAAACGTTACGCATCTGAACTTTTGCAATCGAAATAGAACGATGCTTCTCGTGCGCGTGCGCGCGCGCGCGCGCGCGCGTGTGTGTGTGTGTGTGTGTGTGTGTGTGTGTGTGTGTGTGTGTGTGTGTGTGTGTGTGAAACTTCGAAATTTTTCCACAACGTTAATTTATTTGTCAAATATACGTGTTTGTTTATTTTTTTAACATTCCACAGTGATCACACGAATACAATTAAGACTTGTGTATTATATGACGCATGCTTTCCTAGTATATATTTATTAACAAAGTTTGCACGCTGTCTTCATTTATATATCACGTACGCCGCCAGCATTACATTCTTAGATTGTTCGCGTAAGTTACGTAGTACAAAGTCAATCCTCGCGTGGTCCTATGTATTTTTTCACTGTTTTCATGCCGTATGTAGATGTTCGCGAAGTGCCATTTGTGTAAAGGAAAAAAAGATCGATTACATACATGACGCGAAATAAATGTTCACATCAGTATGTATATATTCGCATCTTTACACGTTTAATTTCATTGGGATTGCGATATATTGTGCGAGTAGCGTATAATGTAAAAATCTTACATAGATATACCCTTTTATACTCAGAGAAAAGAAACATCAGCAAGTATTTATAATCTCAGCTGAACGGTGCTCAAGCGTTGCTCGTGAATGACGGTGGGGAATAAAAGCGCGATAGTACAGTTGTAAAAACTGTTCAAGGGCGCATCACATTGTTCAAGTGTCTTCGCAATCGCGAAAAGAAACGGGAAACGAGTTGCACCCGTGAAAGATCCGTAGAATCGTTACGCGATTTCACGTGCACTCGCGCCGACCGAGGGATACGTTTCGGCAGTCTCGATTGAGATAGGCCGATTGGAGACGTTGATCGAGATCGCACGCGAAACCGTGTCGCGTGTCCGACGTACGGAAGCACGTTTCAGCATCGTTCGTTCCCCCGTCACTCGTCGCCTCCGCGGCCGTCATTGCCAGCCGCCACCGGGCGACGATGTCCCTTTAATGACCGGTGCGGTCACCGTGTTCCAGGTACAGTCCACTGGCAGGTGACCTCCTCGCGAATTCGATGCTGCCCGGTAATACGATGAACGGCGCCGGCTGGTGCATCTTCGTGTACAACCTCGCCCCCGAGACCGAGGAGAACGTGCTCTGGCAGCTGTTCGGGCCGTTCGGCGCCGTCCAGTCGGTCAAGGTCATACGCGACCTGCAGACGAACAAGTGCAAGGGCTTCGGGTTCGTGACGATGACCAATTACGAGGAGGCGGTGGTGGCCATACAGAGCCTGAACGGCTACACCCTGGGCAACCGCGTGCTCCAGGTCAGCTTCAAGACGAACAAGAGCAAGGCCGCGTAGGACGAGCAACAGGCGGCAGCGGCGGCGGTGGCTGCGGCTGCGGCCGCGGCGGCGGACGTGGCGGCGGTGGCGGCGCCCTATCATCATCGTCGTCACCGGCTGCTACGTACCGCGGCGGTGGTACAGCTGCCGGTACCGGTGCCGGCGGGTCACCTTTACAACAAGCGGGGGCCTGGTCAGGTGCCGGGCGCCATTGGTAACAATAACATCAATAGTCACCTCGGGGTCGGCGGCACCGGCGGCGGCATCCTTCACGGAGGAGTCAAGGGCCAGCGGCAGCCGTTCCTTCAACGCCTACCGTCGCGCATACACGATCTCACTCGGGCGATCGAGATGGCCGTTTCGGGAGCGGCGAATACGGCAACGCAGCAGCAGCAGCAGCAGCAACAGCAGCGTCAGCACGCGCAAGCCAAGCAGACCTCCCTGAAGAGCAAACCCAACAACAACCGTCAGGCCAGCAGCAAGAAGCAGAGCGAGAAAGTGTAGTTGCGAGGAGTGTGTGAGA